CAAGTAAAGGGCAAGAGGAAGGAAAGTGGAAACACTGAGGTAAAGATAATGGGCCTAAACCTTTTCAAATACTTTACTTTCTAAACAGTCTCTATATTTGAAATACACTCATTTGTTTTTGAAGTCATGACTTAAATAATACCAAAAACCAATAATGTTGTTTAAGATCACTCAAGTTAGTCTTTCAAATATAATTTGAGTCCTTAGCATTATCTAACATGTTCATGAGAATGCATTAAGGAGAAAATGTAAAATTCTACAACATTTTTAAGACAGAAATATGAAGAGACAAATTTCCTAGAAAAGCAATATGAGATATTTAACCAATATACAATAGGATCTCATTTAGGAAAGCAAAGCTAGAGACCATTGGAGCTCAGATGTGCAATATCTATTTTTTTAATATTAAGTAAATATAACTAAGGAAAACCCCTCTAAACTGCCAAATGACAGCAAAGCTTATTTAACATGCTCTCTGCCTCTGGAGTGCTTCTACCTACGACAGGTTATATAGTAGTTACCTGTTTGCTTAACAGGAGAATGTTTACAGTCTGGCAGCGACTAACAGCACCTTTAAACAGTATCTGTGAACTAACACTTTCTTGAAGAAACATGCACTTCCACCCAAAGGTCCAACAGACGTTAATGTATCAAAATTATTTAAAATGATAAATATTATCCACGTATTAACATCCTGACTACATAATGTAATCCTTTATTTTGGGCTTGTCATTTTAATTATGAATACCTTAAGCAAAATCATCTATTTTAAAAGTTAAAACAGAGAGGGGAAAAGGAAAAGGAAGTCAAACCCCAAATTCTGGCTAATGGAACATTTCTGCTTCTTAAGAGGGAGCACCTCTGAACTGTTATCACTGTACTGCTGGAGAAGCCAAATGACAGCTTAGACTAAAAGAGAGATGTTTCACATACTCAGTGACTATTGCGAGCCTCCCATAGCCTTGTAACCAAAAGAAAGGGCTTCCTTAAGCATATTTTTAAAATGTCAAATTCAAGTGTGCCTTATGCCTGGACTCTGCAGCTTTTCTGATTAGCTGGGGCAACAGCTGCTTGTGGCCAGGATCACCTAAACACAGTGTACTATGACTCATCTGTAAAGCATTTCAGGGAAAATCATATACTGCCCATACAAGTATTTTTGACTTGAAACACTTGCCTTGTGATATTTATTTACTACCTTTTGATTGCTTGCATGTTTTTGCCATAACATGGTTTGAAAATGGAAAAGTTTATTAAACTTCACTTTGTTGCTGGGGGAGCATGCTTAAGTGCACGCAGGGGTGCATGAGCAGCAAGAATTAAAGTAAAAGCTTAGACCTTTAATGGCTCCTTGGGAAAACCACTGAGTAATTTTAGATGCCTCCTAAAGTAAGAAGAAAAGATTGGAACCAGATAAATAATTGGTGGACACAATACTTGGAAATCCCTAAAGAAGCAACCATCCAAGTAAAGCAAGGATGCTTCTAAGAATCTGACTGATTTGGGATGCAGATTCTAAAGACTGGTTTTTACTTCATGCCAGCGTCTCAGGAGGCAGAGTGGAAGAAGCTGAAGGGAAGGGAGAAGCGCGCCAGTGCTCTCTGCACCAGTCCGTCCCTCCAGCCCACTCTCCTTTCTGGAGCAAGCGAGTTAGATTCGTTGGAGAGACCGAGTGGCCAAAGAGCCCCTCACTTTCTTTCCCCCTTACACACTGAACTCCACTTTCGCCTTACTGGAAACCAGGTGACCCAGGAGAGGGAGGGAGAGGAGCTGAAGGGGCTCCCGAATTTAGAAACAGCGAGCTAGGAACGGGTGACCAAGGGCTGCCGGGGGAAGATGGGTTGGGAGTGGGAGGGAGAGCGCATCTGACGACGCCTCTGCCGGTCGTCCAGTTACTGAGACAGGAAGCAGACCCGCCTCCGACCTCCCGCGGAGCCTCGGCCAGGGTACCAGTTCCCCAGGGGCAGCAAGCCAAGTCTGTGCAACCCAGGGTGATCACCACCAGCCCCGGGTCTCACTAAGTTCCAGCCACTGCCCCAGGGAGAAGACACTCCCCCCGCCCCAGGTGTCCCTACCTGGCTCCCTAGTACCCAGCATGAGGTTGGGGACGATGGCGATCGCTCTCAACAAGAGAGCGGCCCGGCCCACGCGCGCCCAGGGTCGCTGGGCCACCCCTCCCCATCATTCCTCAGGCCATGAAGTGCCGGGGGATGGCGAGCTTGGTCCTTTGTTCCCTCACAAAGTGGAAAGGCAGTTTCTTACAAACCCAAACCGTGAAAGAAACCAAGGTCGGGCTGTCTCCGGCAGGGCGCACCCAGGATATCGGGTTATCCAAGGGCATGTGTATCGCAGTTGCAAAAATAATCAACAGTATTTTAAATTGCGGAGACGCGGGGAAAGGAGGCGGAACATGGCCACTCATTTCATCCTCGGGAGCTGAGCTCGGCGCTCTCAGCCCGCACTCCCCTGCACCCCCGCGTCCCGAGGTGGGGAACAGAAGGAGTGAGGGAAGGGAGGTGGGGGCCCGGCAGCGTCACCACCCACCTGCGGCCACCGCGGAGCAGCCCCAGAGCAGCAGCAGCCGCGCGCAGCTCCCCATGGCCGGGAAGAGCCGGGAGGACCCGGGCCGGGCGGGTACTGGAGGGAGCCGAGCCCTCGCGGCTGTAGGATGAAGCGCCAACAGTCCTCGAGAGGAACCGGGG